CGTCTTATTTAAACTGGTTCTATCCGAAAAGGAACATCTGAAGGTAGTGTGAGAACACCTGACATTGAGGAAGCAGTGCTGCACGAAGGCGAAGATCATCCTGAAACGAGTACGAGGAAGATCGCTAGACACTTAAATATTTGCCATCAAATTGTTTGGAGAATTTTAGTGGATTTTTGTTATATCCTTACCATATTTTAAGAGTACAGGCATTACTTTCCATTGATTTTTCAAAGCGTGTGACCTTTTTTCAGTGGTATCTTCAAAAAATTATACAAAGTCCGCAATTTGAATCAATGATTCTGTTCACGGACGAAGCTAATTTTCCTAGAAATGCCATACAGAATTTCCACAATAATCATTTGTGGGCAGAAGAAAATCCATATGTCGTAACCGAAACCCATTTCCAACACCAATTTTGGGTTAACGTATGGGCAGGAATTATTGGCAACCACTTTATGGGCCCATTCTTCTTGTTGGGACGACTTGACGGACAGACTTACCTCAATTTTCTTCAACAACAGTTGCCTTTGCTGCTTGATGATGTTCCGTTAGTAATAAGAAACAATCTGTGGTACATGCATGATGGCGCATTTCTGTGTAGCGGTTCGTAACTACTTACAAACTGTTTTTCCAAATCGTTGGATTGGGCATGGTGGGCCCCAAGAATGGCCACCAAGGTACCCAGACCTCAACAGTTTAGATTTCATTTTGTGGGGCTATCTTAAGACAATAGTGTACACAAGTTCCATTAACACTGTAGAAGAATTAAGAGAAAGAATAGTTGCAGCTTGTGATAGAATGAAAAACACTCCAGGGATATTTCAATGAGTGCGCAATTCCATAAGGAGGGCGGAAGCATGCATACTTAATGAAGGTGGCCATTTTCAACAATTTTTGTAATCATTTCATTGACTGTAATGTTATGTTTATGTTGTCAGTTGTTGTTGTTCATTCCCCTTAATGGGTTTAATTTTTCCAATTAAATTAATAACAATTTTGCAAGCTAGACAATAGAACGGTTTTTATTTTTTACTCAAAAATGGCTCATCGAAGGAAAGCAATTCGGGGGAGATCATTTGTTTTAAATTGCACGGGGAATTCAAAAATAATTTCTATTTGGCAAAAAACCATTAACGTACCATTTTTTTCTTGAAAAACGTCGAAGTCAATGCCCGTACGTATGCCACTGTTGAAGTTAAAAATTATTTTTGCATTGAAAAATATGCAACTTTATTAACTTTCACTACGTACTGAATATCAGTGAACAATCTGTAGCGGTTCTAAAAATATTAATTAATTTCCATTTTTTTCCTAAAACTTCAACACCCCGAGTTATTGTAAGGAAACATTTTTGGATCATAGTTTATCAAGCAAACTAACATTAATTTTTCATGTAGATTCACACCCTTAAATATTCGCATATCATTAAGGAACACCCTGTATATTCACAATTGGTTGTTCAAAATCAGTGTCGTTTTTTCTTATGTCGCAGCAGTTCTCATGAAAACTATTCTAATGACAACCAATTTATACATGTTACTTTGTAGTAATAAGATCACCTTGCCAAAAACATATGTCCTAAATGTTTTGGCACAAAATATTCATCTAATTTTTTTTTAATGTAGAGATTCATTTAAACACCAACTAGTGATCATAAATTACAACTTAACACTTACTAAACTATATATATATACTACTATGTATGTATACTATGTAGAGTGGTCCACTCTGCTCTGCCAGAGGCAACTTTCGTCTAATGTCCCTCATGAGGTCCTGGACGGAATTCAGATCAATTTCTCTCAGTTTTTCGTGAATTCGCTGTCTTAATTGTTTCTTATCTTGAGCTCCCCAGCCTCCATGAAAACGCTTCCTAGAGAGTAAAAATCCGCTATTGGACGAGCCTGCGGTAAGTTTGGAGAATTATGATTTTTGGGAAAAAACAGTGCCCATGTTTCTTTTTGTCGTACCAAAAAAGCCTTGTATACCAATTTTCACTGTTATACATCAAATATTGTTCAAAATATTTAAAAAAAAAACTATTTTAGAAAGTAAATTTGAACACCCTGTATTTCGGAAGCCACGCATTTTTCGACCCATGTTTATATAGACTTTCTGCATTAATTTTAAAAGTTCTATCGAATCTTAAAGTTATGCAACAATAAACTGAAACACCCTGTATACATTTTATACATTGTATATGTGAATGTTGAGACGTCAGGGTGTCCGCAAAGTTGGGATTTTCCTTTACACGATGTGTAGATCTTGAAAACATAAGCAATTTTTCTTAGTACCATATACACCAATGTCTTAAGGGAACCGAGATAAAGGGCTCTGCAACATCAAAAATATCTGAATACCGTCCTGTAGCCGCGATCCGCCGCGATATCTCAGACTGGTACCGGCTACTAGCTGAACCCGACGACAGAACTGGGTCGGAGGTCGGGGTCAGTGTGTCAGGTCAGTATGCAACCTTCAACTGACGGTAAAGGGTCACGCGTATAGAGGTAACGAACCCGTATAATCGATTGCGTTTCAAAAAAAAAATAATAATGGCACACTCATACACCAATAATGAACTCGTTGATATGTTGTTAATTTATGGCGAATGTCTTCAAAATGCTACAGAATCGTCGCGAGTGTATGCAGATCGTTTCCCTAGACGACATCATCCAAGGCCCCGCAGATTTGGTACAGAGAGTCAGGGATACGGGCCATTTGGAGGAATTTCGAGGTGGGCACAGTGGGTGGCCTAGACAACCACGAATGGTGCAAGTTGAGGAAGAACTACTGAATCGCGTAGACGAGAATCCTTCAACAAGCACTAGAGACGTGGCTAGAGAAGTGCAAGTATCAAAAACTAAAGTGTGGCAAACGTCCAACGTGTACAAGCCCTTCAACCTGACGATTTTCCAGCAAGAGTGCGGTTTTGTGAGTGGTTGTTGCATCAACATGACAATAATCCGGACATTTTGAAGTGCATATTGGTGACAGACGAATCTACGTTCACGCGTAATGGGGTGAATAACTTTCGATTTCAGGCAGAGACGTACTTAGCCCTTTTCGTTAATTGGAGAGTGAGTAATTTTTCCTTTAGTTTTTTTTTACTTGGTCGCCCTCGTTTCACTACACATTACCTTTGTTATTTCACGGGTAGTTGTTTCTGAAAAGGAAAACCCCAACTTTGCGTACACCTTGTATATTCACCATTGTATACGCTTATACAATGATATATTATTCATGGTGTATACAATGCACCCATCACTGGGAACAAAAGGTATGTTATGTTATCGAAACCAGTTTTGGGTATCTCTTGAGTAATGGCACGATGCTGGGTCTGGTCAAAACATGATATGGTCATCACCATGATGTTCGTGGACAAACTGAAGCAATTTTCACATAATCAAGCATCGTACCAGTAGGATGGTGCTACTTCACACACCACGAGAGCGTCATCAAGTTCCTTGCAAAGATTGTTTCCGCAACATGTTGTTTCCAGACGAGGAGACATTGGCCCTAATGAATAAAAATGTAGGAATTGCTTTATCTTACAAAATTGAAGGAAAAGCTTAAAAACCTATGAATAAAAATCTGAGTAATTGCTTTTGCCTTCAGCAATTGCTTAAAGTTGCAGCAATTGCTTTTAGATAAAGCATTTTCTTAAAAAACACCAGCTATTGCTTAAACATGCTAAGAATGGGATGAATAAAACACGCAATTGCTTTTTCTAGTGTAGTAATTGCTATTAGATATTTAAAGTAGGTCGATCCCAGCTTGCATTTGGTTTTAGTGAAATTTTGTTCGTTCTACTAGATATACGGATTGTTTTTACTGATATGGAATTTGGTAATTATGGCCGAATATATGAATATTCGTGTAAAAAGAGTATACAGTGTACGTAAAGAGTGCCGAGATAATGATTTCCGAAAATTATATCGTTTTAATCGCGAAAATGTGGCGTGGTTAGCGCATTAGTTTTTGGCTGACAGCGGTGAGAAGCGAGGAGGAGCATTATCAGCTGTGAATAAGATGAAAATTTTTCTGCGTGAGTTGTCAGACCCTGGCTTTCAAAATGCCGTTGCTGAAGAGCTTGGTGTTCACCAGACTACGGTTTGTAAAACATATACTTCCGTCCTGAACGCCGTTTTCTAGAAGGCCAACATTTGGGTTAAATTCCCCAAAAGTCCTGAAGACTTCATGGATGCTAAACAACTGTGGTCGGAGAGATACCGTTTCCTAAATTCTCAAAGTTTGCTGAATTCGGTGACGAATATATAAACAGGAAAGGATATCCTAGCATCAACATACAGGCAACTTGCAATGCCAAAGAAATATTTACAAGTGTAGACTGTCAATGGCCAGGCTCTATACATGACAGCAGAATATTTAAAAATTCCAATATATTCAGCATTCTTAAAAACAGCATCGAAGAATGTGTATTATTAGAGGATAATGGCTATTCTATATCCCCTTGGATTATGACCCAATGAATCCAACAACCCCAGAACAGCAAAATTATAATAACGTTTTTTGTCGAGAACGAGTAATAATTGAACGATGCTTTGGGCAATTAAAAGCAAGATTTCCTGTGCTACAGTATAAAATCCGGAATAAATTATAAAAATACCATCGACAATAATTTCCTGCGTTGTTCTTCATAACATAGCTAAATGTTTAAATGATGAATATTTTATTACGTGCATCATGAAGCTGATGCTGAAATTAACTTAGACACTGTCAATTTAACTACAAATTTAATTCATCAGTTAGGACAACAAAAAAGGCAAATAGTGACTGAAATGCTCTTAAATTATCATGTAAGTAACAACTGGTACTTATATTACGTGTAGATACACAATTAAAACAAATCAGAAATTCTATTCCGTTATTAAACAAATGAAAACAGAACAATATAATTCTTAGGTACCTATATTCAACTTAAATTCAGATTTTATTAATTTTTGATACTCGGTGTAAACCCAAATTAAAAATTAAATCCTAGATTAAATAATTAATAATAATTACAAGTTGTAATACATTTTTTCCTCCGAAAAACTACTGTTTGGCATAAAGTTACCATCACCTTGCTTCTGCCTCTTAATGATTTCTTCTTGTTGCATTCGACAACATTTCAACTGCTCTAATAGAACTAATCGCTGCAACTCAGCAGTAGATAATTTTTGGGTTTCAGTTTCTGGTAAATGTGACTTCTCAATTTTCTTTGCAGGAATAGTAATTTCTTTTGCACTTGAGGGGGCCAGAGTGTCACTGATGGCCGAGGTGGAGGATTCAGCAAGTGTTATGCTTTCGTTGGCTCCAACAGAGACAGCACCTGAATGATTTATTTTGATGTTTAAAAAAACCTACGATACAATAAAGTTTAATTTGCTTTACCTGGTATTTTTTTGAAGATGGGATTCTTATGTATTTCCAACATTTCCATTAACAACTTTTCCCAAGACTTATAGATTATAACTTGATTGCCTGTCTTATTAATATCAAATTTCTTCTTTATTTCGGTCTTCATATTACTTATTTTTTTTGCTAACTGTTTTGTTGTAAGTGTCGCGTTAAAAATATATTTATATTGTTGTACTAAAATTTTTAAAGCGGCCTCCTTTTCTATTTTAACTTGTGGAACTTGCGATTTATTAAGAACGATTTTATGTTCTTTTAATTTATGCAAAAATAAAAACTGATACCCATTTCTTCCTCATCATGAGATTAGTCACTTCCACTTGATTCAGCCATAATTTTCACTTCCTTTTTTATTTTTTACCGAAAAATATGTTCCTAATACCACCTACTAGGTTATGCTGAATGTAAGAAACTCGGAACTAAACTGAAATAAATGCGCGTATCGACTCCTAAACATACTTGCAAGTCTAAACGCGTTGAACACATACATATATAAGCAATTGCTTTTAAGATTCGGGAAATGCAGCATTTGCTTAAAAATATTATTCATTGCAAAATTTACCAATAGCTTTTCCTTACAGCAATTGCTAGTTTGGCATAAGCAATTGCTTAGTTTTTATTCATTAGGCTCATTGACTGGCCGCCAAGGTCGCCAGACCTAACGGCTTGCGATTACTTTTTGTGTAAAGCAAAAAGTGTTCACTGATAAGCCACGAACCATACGGGGGATTAAAAGAAACATTAGAAGCGGTATTATTTTTAAGAAACAAAAATGGCATATTACTAGTTTGTTAATGTCATACTGTATTTTATTTCAATTGAATTGCCTTCATTGCCTTGTAGTTTTAGTTTGCGAGATTTCCTGAGGGGCCCGTCTGAGAGACAAACATTTTCCTGTGAATTAAGACGTTTCAAAAATTGACGCTTAACATATTTTTGATGTCCACGTGTCATTGCAATATAATTGTGAGTTTTTGGTTAAAACAGCCTGCAATTGTTTCATAGAAAAGTACTCTGATCCACATGGGATGGAATTTAAACAAAGCCGTCAACTTCGGCTCAGTAACCGTGGAACGTTCGTGTCATGATTGGACTGGCGATGAATTTTTTGCCGATCGGCATTCGCACCTCTGTGCGCACCCTTGTGGCTGTCACGCAAATTGTCGAACGTCATGCTCAGTGAGCATTTGAAATGCAGCCCGATCAATTAACGGAAAATTTTCCGATCTATAAAAAAGCGAACGCTGCGCTTTGATAGCGGCACTAAACGAAAGGCTGTGCAAGTCGATAAGGAAGTGTATAGTTTACACTATAGCGTAGGTAACCTTTTGTTTCTCCTTTATTTCCCACTCCAGTAGGCAGGAAATATTGAGCGCGTTCAACCAAGGTAAAGTGGTCCAGGGGTGTAGCGCTTTATAGCTGAATATCAGTAGCTGTGGAATAACGTCTGGGGTTCGCAATATTCAATCAACAAACTACGAAATCTGACAGTCGAGTGGATTGCGAAAATTTTCAAGTCATAAGGCGGTGAGCACCAACCAAGGGAATTCAAAGCTAAATTTAGTATGTTACTAAAAATATACAGGGTGTAAACGCTGTGGTAGTCAATATTGAAATGGGTAATAGTGGGGTCAAAACACGTCAAAAAGTTCATGACCCATGGTCCAAAAGTCAATAGATTTTTGTCTAAATGGTTTTATAGTTTACAACTTTAAGTGCCTTATATCGACCACAATCTTACTAATTTTTATAATCTAATCTAAAACGTTTTTAAATTGGGTAATTAACAAATAAATGGCATTCAGTTTTTCTAAGTTAAGCCAAAATTTGTAGTCAGTGATTAAGTAAGTCTCATTAAATTAAATATTTAAAGCACACATGACAACAGCGCGTCGATCTTTCATCACTCTTATCAAACCGGCAATCGATCGCAAACGGTAACAGTGGTTAGTATGTTGTTTTGTTTTTGTTCGCGTAAGTCGTGTTGACTTACAATGTTCTCGGATCAAGAGTTCGCCGACATGTTGTTAGTTTACGGTGAAGCTCGTCAGAATCCGAATCTTGCAGCACAAATTTATCGCGACAGATTTCGCCAACGAGTACACCCAGACAGAAGGACATTTGTGCAAGTGTACTAAAGACTTCGAGATACAGGAAGTGTTCAGCCCACTAATATTCGCACTCGTGAAAGACGTGTTACTGTAGAGCAGGAGGAACAAACTTTAAATATCGTGGAAATCAATACAGATATCAGCACTCGGGAATTAGGCCGCATACCATATCCACAGAATCCTAAGGGAAAATTTGGTTTATCCCTACCATGTACAACGAGTGCAGGCCTTGTTACCAGAAGACTATCCTCGCAGACTAACATTCTGTCAGTGGTTTTTGCACAAAAACATTGAAAATCCGGATTTTTTAAAAAACATTCTAGCGACGGACGAATGTACTTTTACGAGAGACGGGATATTAAATTTCCATAATACCAAGAAAATTCGCATACCATTCGTGAAGGTCATTTCCAACAAAGTTTTAGAATACATATTTGGGCGGGTATTCTTGACGATCAGGTAATTAATACCAGGACTTTTAGAACAGACCTTAGACAACATGCCATTACAGCGGAGACAGAATTTTTCATGACGGGGCACCACCACACATTTTTAGAGGCGTCATTCAGTATTTGAATGAACATTATCCAAATCGCTGGATCGGTCAAAATGCTCCTGATCCTCGAAAATGGCCAGCAAGATCTCCTGACCTCAATCCGATGGATTTCTGGTATTGGGGAGAACTTAAAGGGGCTGGTCCAATAACAACTGAAGCACAACTTCGCGAAAAAAAAATTAATGCGGCTGAAATAATAAATGGACAACTTCGAGGACCTAGAGTAAGAAGAAACTGGGTTCGTCGTAATGAAGCTTGTGTGGAAACTGGAGGACGATATCTTGAACACCTTCTTTAAATACAAAAAAGTGCAGTGTGGGTTTAAAAAAGAAAAACAATGTATGTATCAAAATTGTGTTCCCTATTTATAAGTGGATTTTTTTAATACGTTCAATAAACTTTCACATACCAGGTGAAGTGCTGAGACAGTTAGTGGTAAGTCGGTGTTTTAATTGTTTGCATTTTACGAGTACATTATCAAATAGTAAAATAATACCTAAGAGCCAAAAATAACAAACTCCCTCTTTATTTACACTGCGTTCCGTCGTAATTTGCGTCTGGAATTGCGCGTTGTCAGATTTTATTTTACTTTAAAGTCGTTTTTCTCTGAAAAAATGCTGTTTTGACCCCTATGTTATATCAAACTTTTTGATTCTTTTAACGCCCTCTATCACCCATTCAAATAATGACTAACATAACGTTTACACCCTGTATAAAATTGCCGACCTTAGGACTTCTCTATACAAATAATGAGATTATACCATACTTTCAATCCTGTGTATTCCAGTTCATCTGCATCACGGAATGTTACCTATTCTAAAATTAATTTAGTTTTGAATTCCTTTAGTTGGTACTCGCAATCCGTAATGTTTTTTGACCTAGCACTTGTTGATCCGTAATCAATGCACTTCATGGTTCGCATGTAAAATGGATAGATAGACATTTATTACATGGGAAGAAAAAGATAACTGTTATATAAAAATAAATATTAAAATGACAAAAATAAAATTGTAGACAAAGTTACATATTAAATATGATCTCAAAATTGCTTTATAAACAAACGAGAGGGGAGAGACATTAATGTCGCATAATGTTATTTATGGCGTTAAACTTGTTACAAATGATGGAAACAAACATGTGATTTTGCCAAAATATTGGTTCTAACATATTCATAATAAAACACTTACGAATTTCTGTTACGCTTCGGTACAACATACACCTTAGGAAAAACCATTGTTATACATGGGAAATCATTTCTTGGCAACAGCGCAGACCTGTATCACGAATGAGAATAATAGGCTGATACGCTGTGTTGCCAATTTGAGTAGAGCTTCCCGAATTGTGGGGAATTTAGACTTAAGTGTTGATTCATTCAAGCTTTTAATCAGCATGGCCTAGACGTTAGAACTTCATAAAGATAACATTGAAGCTGAATGCTGCTGGAGTAGAGTGTTTCGAATATTCAAAGCAGAGCGGGACACTATACCTACTCGTTCAATGAGTCATCAAGCCACAGTCTTTTCAACAAAGAAATTATTTTACGAAAATGCGTTATATTTTTACGATTTTGTCGTCACCAAATCTCTGTTTCTCAAAATGTACGTCTATTGTAGAATTTTCAGCAAACTAAGCAAGAAACGTGATCTAGTATTTACTCAACATTACGGATTTCTCGAAATACATTAAAAAATGTGACCTAGATACCTAACTGCCCCAAGCTCTTTAAATATAACACCTTAAACTAGGGTTACCAGGTGCTCAGTCACATTGATTGTCATGTTGTACTGCGCAAGTCAGCAAACAATCTGGCGTAATAAACGTTAGGAATCATCAGGTATTGCCAGATTCCCGAATAACGGGCACCATAGTAACCGTTATAGTTGTCCTTCAAAGTTGTCAAATCGCCCCTATGGCGCAAATTCGCCACACCAGGCAACTGTGCTATAAACAAACCCTGTTTATCACTACTATTTGATAGTCATATGGTAGTTGTAGCCCTATCTAGCGGTCCATGATTTCTCTCAATACTGTTGTATCTCTACTGGCAACAAGAATAGGGATTACAAAATCATTTATACAACAATATACAAACATGAAAAATATGATTTGAACCATGAAACATTAATACAATTTTAATAGTTTGAACTTTTTTCATTTTTGGAATACTCTTATGTGGAATCCGCAGCTATTTTCCCCTAAATTTGGGTAGACTTAGATTTCCTAGAAATATGACATATTGGTATCGGCAACTCTGCGAATGGGAGAAACAAATCGCATTTGTTGAGCGCATCCGTCTAAGCGGTAGGCGCCAGCGCCCGTTCTGCCATCCTCTCTTTTATCACTCTTCTACTTTACCCCGTTGTCCGTCACACTCCGACGCTGCCAGATACGATCCTACAATCGAGTGTCTTTCACGCACCTACATACTTTTGTATATTTCCA